CAGCTCGCTGGCATCCTGCTTTCACTGTGTACGTACCCTAACACAGCTGAGTGTCATTCATTGGGCTCAGCTTTATAGTCAATGAATATCTGTAACAGAGACTGAAACAAGAGGACAAAGACATTGAGGTGAGGTAAAGGCAAGGCCAGAGGCAAATAACATGGATAAATAAGCACAGATAGGCTGTGCTACATAAGCCACAAAAGCCTCCCGGCAACAACGTCTTTATGAATACAAAGTACTGTGCTCATGCTACCAAATCTCCAATTTTACCCAGAAACAGCAACAGTAATATTTGTCTTTGTTTTACTTTAAATGGCTACTGAACAAAAGATAACACAGTCTGACTGCTCTGATGTGACTGCAATATGCAATCTTCAACAAAACATTTTGGGTTGACTCATTACCATTACATTCTGTAGGATATTTTAATGCAAGTGTTGAAGACAACTTGAAGTACTGCGGATTGCAGAAGTTGAAAATTTTATTAAATGACGTGTTTACCACAAGTGTGAACCACGATTTTCTTAATTAAACAAAAATGCATGATGTTAGAGCCGCAAGATTTCATACCTACCTACTGAAATTATATGATATTAGAGCCGCAATATTTCAGGAAAAAGTATGACTTTTCCCGATCAGTGTGGAGAGTAAGAGATATACTACCGTATCAAAGTTGCTTGCAGCACTTTCATATTAAAAATTACCTGGCAACGGATCTTGAAAATGGCTGGCGACGCTTTGGGCCAAAAATCCATGTCTTGGTAATGCTGCTTGCACCCTCTGTACCCTGTATTTTGTACATAATTTCATGGTAAATATTTATCATAATAATTTTATATAGAATATTATAATATTTCATATTAGCTTCTATAGCTATATAAACTCATTTTCCTCTTACTTAATGAAAACATACTAGGTATATTTAATCCAGTCTTTAAACTGTAAAGCATTGCACTATATAGGTCAAGGATGCCATTTTTTAAGCCATAAGAGGCCGAGGCAAACCTATAAAGACGGTGGAAGCCGATATCCATCAGTAACCAAACGGCAAGGTTGCCAAAATGGATGGTGAGGGGATGGTGGCTCCTGTCCCTTGGCAGGCACTAGTTAGTAAAATAACAAGGAAACATAATAGTTGAAGAGTCAGCTTTAAAATGCTAATTTTGTTTCATGACCATGTAAAATTTCAACCCTTCCACTGGGTCATCCACCTAATACAACTAAAACACCTCTCAAAGCTCTAAAAATATTGAGCAAGAAATGGGTAATAGCAACACAAACTATAAACAAGAGCCGTTGAATATCTTTCAACAGTTTTCATCAAGCATGCCATGCTTGTTGTTGAACTGCCACATATTGTGAACCTAAAAAGCAGATCTGGACACTCAAGCCTTTATACAATTTTTTCAAGGAAGTTTCAATATTCTTCCAAGAGTAATGAGTAATTTCAATGACATAATGATACATCAACAATTGATATGTACGGAAACACTATGCCTGACTATTTGCATCTGAAAGCTATGTGCTTAACCTGGTCTGGTCAATGCATTTATGATACCCTTGCACAATACCCGTCTACACACTCAAAAATCTGAAAGGTACATTGACATTGAAGCAAAATTTACAGAAGGTTGTAGACTTCTTCATTATTTGGATTGCATTCGGGTAATTGCAGTAACGACTACGACATTGAACTGCCGTTTCTCTTACCATCTGAGACAAGCTAACAACCAAACTAGGTCTCAAAGTATTACAAAGAAGCGACTTCATCTCAAGATCATCGATGAATTCAACAGGCTTCGTGACACTCTTAAAAACGTCAAAACCGAGAATATACGCGACAATGGTACTTGCAAAAAAGCGAGAGTTCTCCAAGGGCCAGATGTATTCTATAAATTTTGCATCCAAGAAGGTTGTAGACTTCTTCATTATTTGGATTATATTGGAGTCATTGGGGTAACAATTATGACATTGAACAGCCGTTTCTACTACCACCTGAGACAAGCTAACAACCAGACCAGGTCTCAAAGCATTACAGACAAGCAACTTCATCTCAAAATTGTCGATGAATTTAACAGGCTTCGTAAAAACATCATCAAACTCCGAACTAAACGCGAAAGTGGCCCTCGCAAAAACTCGGGAGTTGTCCGAGAGGCCGTTGTGGTCTATAAATTTTGCTTCAAAGAAGGTTGTAGACTTCTTCATCTTATGGACTACTTCGGACACTTTGGATCAACAACCAAGACACCGAGACGCTGTCTCATTAGCTACCTCCAACCCGGAGGGCAGGGGAACCACACGCGACAATCTCACAACCAGACCGTCACTCGCTTTGTGCTGAAGGAACCCACCAGCATTGTCATCAAGCAGTGGCCTGACATCAATCGACCGAAGATGGCTAGCCTCATCGTCTCTACGAATTGGACGCCTGCTACCTCTTTCTTAACTACCGGATTTGGCTGAACTTTGAAATGATTTTCAGAGTGATTTTTTGATTCAAAATTTTACTATAGTATCCTATTTACATATATTATGTACTTATTTCCACCAGAATTTCAATATTTAATGCTCTTTGTAACTTGAAAATGAATGTTTGTTACATTCGAAACGTCGTTATTAAACTAAAACTACTTCTCGATATATGCCTTTCGATCTACCAACGTCATCTGAAGAATTGTCCGACTTTTTGATAATTTAAATCAATTTATTCTCTGGTCGTTAATCGCACGCGTATATATATATATATATAGGTATACCTATCATTACCAGATGAATTTCTACTTTTATCAATTTGCTTTGAAATTAACTATTAAGACTCATTTCTAAGTTGTTTCATATTTTACTAAAAATTGATTAATAATCTTTAGGAATAAGTTGTTCAACTGGTATGCAAAATAATAACTAACAGTGACTAAAATTGTCACATATCTAATCTGCTTGTTGCCCATAAAGACACACCCTGGCAGTTACACCTCCTAAAAACTAAAAGCCATTGATAGCCTATTGTATGAGCTTACTGGCCTCTGAAACTAGTGGTGACCAGTTGTGGAAACATGAAACCAGTTGTGGAAACATGGTATCACTGAGCTGTCTTGGTGCCTTTACAGAATTTGAAACTAATACAGAAGTTGTATGCTCTTCATGATGCATGATAACATGCAATGGATCATGTATTAAACTTTCTTAAAGGAAGAATTTAAAGCTAATTTTTTGGTATAAATTGCTGAGGATGCCCAGTAATGTAACTGGAGAATGGGGTTAACAAACAAATGTTGTCAAACTCTGCCTTGCTGCCATTAATTATTTACCAATTCAATTTTTAATCCTTAAATAGCCTATGGCCTTTCTTGTTTTACCTCTTATTGTAATGGAATATATTGCTGTTACTGCAATATAATATCCTGTATTGTTGTGCTACATCTCATTATCTATCTTTCATTTTCACAACTATCCGAGTCATAATATACCTATGCTACACAGCAGGGTTGGTGATTTTTTTACATGAAAAAATAAAAATAAATACAAATCAATTATTTTTTGTATTTTTTCAGCTATTTTGTCTTTTTGATACATTATTTTTTATGTTGCAATTAGCTTACTAACAATAACAGTATATGGATGGCTAAAAGGGCAGTTATTGCCTTAATGAACAGTCAAGGTGGTGCTAAGCACTTTTGGAATTTTGGGTAAACAATTATTGATGAGTCTATTCATTAGCTTTGTAAAGTTGTTATGGAGCAAGGTAATGAGCTAATATTGGCAATTTAACTGACTTCAACATACAACAACACTTCAGGAATGCAGATCTAAACATTAAAGAGTCACATAATAGATAGCTGATAGCACAGTACAAAACACCATCAATAGATCAACTAGTTTCATGTCCTATAAATCTACCAGACTATGCCCTCTAAACGCACTGACTAGTACCTAGTGACTGAGTGAGTGAATGCACTGTTCTCATTTGATTCAGACCAATTAACTAGTACTAAACACAAACTGAATGACAACCAAACAAACCTCAAACGACTTGAAACAAGACTTATATTATGAGAAAAGCTCACTCTGTTTGAAATAAATATGTACACAATTCAAACATTTTATTTCCATTCACTGCATTTAATTATTTTATATATAGTTTTACAATTGTAATTGTTTTGTTTCTAGTTATAAATTCACATGTTTAAACATTTAAGTTAAATAGTTTAATTAGAATACTTGTATTAGAGTGGAAAATCTTTCTAAATGCCTAAAAGGTCAATACAATCTCAACCAACCCTTCTTATATAAGCTAGCTAAGACATGTAAATTGTATAATGTGATTAATATAAAATAAATAAGTCAAAAAGTTAAAGACTACTTATAGCCTTATAAGAATTAGCAAAGCTGCTACCTATTTACAATGTATTGCAACACTTGATGCCTCTGTACCAAAAACATACAATTCATTGGAACATGAACATGATATACAATAAAGGCAACAGGTTTACATTCCAATTTGTCACAGTACATTTATACTAAACCATGAATAACAATACCTCAAAATAAATTTAAAACTGCCACTCAATGTATTTAAGTATATACCTATAAAAAATAAAAAAAATTGAAACAATAAAAAAATCAGGATTTTTATACAAAATCATGTGAGTTAATTATGTGATTTAATCAGTTTGATTTTATCATTGCCAATCCTGCTACACAATTTCCAAATTTTACAACACAGTAAATTTTCTGCCACATAACTATGCCTGAACATTTTTTATTCTTTATCTCATTTATTTTTCTGAGATTTCTTGTCCCAGCTCATTGTCTTGGTTTATTTAAATAAATTATTTCAAGAGGCAAGTGTCATATGCTGAAATAAGTTTTGTTAGAAGCATTGCTACCTGCCACTTTGTAAGAAGCATGAATTGTTGATAAGTTTCTTTGTTGAGTTACTATAAAGTGTAAAAATTGCTGAAAATGTAATATTTATTTATTTATTTATTTAATTTCAGGTGACATGGCTACTGCGGAAAAGGCAAGATCTAAAAGAGCTAACCAATGTTGAGCTTAAATTTTTGGCTGACAATCCCAAATTAGTTGATCAATTCAACAAGAGGTGAGAATTTTTTTTACTTTCTAATATGCAATAATTGTAACCTATTAATGGTCATTAATTCTGATATACTATGCTTTTTCTATTTTATTTAGCATATTTTTATGCTTGCATTGTATTTGAAATTATGTCACATTTTCTTCATCACACTTCTTTGACTTGACTTTATTTCTTGTTCAGATTCATGTTTCATGATGCAAAATTTTTTGAGGAATTGTAATGAATTGTATTTAAATAATAAAGCAAATTTTGTAAAGGATTTTTATTATTTTTTCTTGTAGATCTTGTTTTACAGTATGATATTTTTTGCTATGTACATAAAGACATGCTAGTTTAAGTAAACTAATGTCTGACATCCGCATGCCGCCCATCATGATTCCAGCTGCTGGATTTAATTTACAGAAATTTTAACTTGTTATATCCCATGCTTTCTAGACATACATTGTCAATGCAATTTGTATATTATGTCACATTTTCTTCATCACACTTCTTTGACGTGACTTGAATTTCTTGTTCGAATTCACGTTTCATGATGCAAAATTTTTTGAGGAATTGTGATGAATTGTATTTAATTAATAAAGCAAATTTTTAAAGGATTATTATTATTATTTTTTTATCTTGTTTTACAGTATATTTTTGCTATGTACATTAAAACATGCTAGTTTAAGTAAAATTGCTATGCTTTATGAAAGAGGTATTGAAACACAGTTGATGTTATGTTACATCTTACTTAAGACATTTCAACTGTAGTTCCATTGTTCAGCTAGAGTACAAATATAAAGAGAAGCTGTGTAGATGAGTGCTGTATTTATGCTGCGCTCAGACATACAAACCTAGTCCTACCCTAATAATAATCATTATTATTGCCAGTGCCATCTACTCTTGATAGCTAAAGCACTACTTCTGTATGAATCAAATCACAGTGCATCACACAAATTACATTTCATACCATACATTCATAATTCACAGTATGATTGTGGGAACCTCCTGTTTAGTATGAGAGCAGAATGCTTGGTGTCAACAGGTCTGCATGCAAGGGGAATGAGAGGAGAAAAGATGATTTTTTTCTGTGTGAAGGAGACTTGGGAATATCTGGTGAAGGCATGTTAAGATGGGTAATGCTGGAGATGATTCTGAATGATGGGAGGTGAAAGTTAAGATGCGGATATTAGAGAACAGACAAAGTGTGACATTGAAGTGATGGTGGGTTTGTCAGAGATATTGCAATTGTGATGTTGGCACAAGAGGGTTTAGCTTCAAAAAAATAGTGAATATAAAATGCATTTAGACAACATGTGGAGGCTGAGATAAAGGAGTAGGACTGAAATAAAAATTAGTATGATTAGAGAAAGTGAAACAAATATCAATTATTTACTTTGTGTTTTCTGGAATTCTATTGATCTTTCAAATTTGATACCGGTAGTCTCTTTTTCTCTCAGGATTCTAGTACTAAGTTTTAGAATTCAAATCTGGTTTAATGACTTTTTTAGTCTCATATGAGGTGTGCTGACTAATTTTTATTCTATGAAATCAAGTTGCTTGGCTTACCAATGAAAATGTCTGACATCCGCATGCTGCCCATCATGATTCCAGCTGCTGGATTTAATTTACAGAAATTTTAACTTGTTATATCCCATGCTTTCTAGACATACATTGTCAATGCAATTTGTAAGCTTTTTTATTGGTATAACTTCAATTGAGATGTTTTCCGTGTTCAACCTAATACCATCTTTTATGAGATTTAAGCATTTAAGTTCATTAAGCAAGAATCCCAATTTTATTCATGCAATAAGGAATCCAAGCTTTTTAGAGCATTCACTTAATTCAACTTGTCAATGATATTTTTATATTGATTATTTTCTTTTTACTAAACACTGATATTATGCTACTTATACTAGTAATGACATTAATGTTCATTTTTTTTAGTGCCATTGGTTTATCATTATGTATGAAAACAAAGTCATTTCTTTGAAACCAAATTTTTTCTGATTGGTTCAGAAAATGTGAATTACACAATCACTCTTCTTGGTAAATTGATAATCAATTTAATGGAAATATTGATAAAAATGTTTAGTTGTTTTTGTGATTGATGCTATGCTTCTAATTTTTAATCATATAATATGCAATTGAGAATTGCAGCAACCATTTTTAGTCTCCAACTAAAACACACTTTTCAAAATTACCAATAAATTTTGCATAACCAGTCATGTTCTTTAATGATAAAATAACTTATAAACTGTGACATTCAATTTGATTGACAATATTGCGTATTTTGAAGTCATGTTTTATGATCACTTTTATCAACCATAAATTTTCTTCACTGCAGGAGAGAAAAGCGGGAAGAGTATCAATCCCGGCACATTGAGAAAGAAGATTCTCCTGAGACTCTCCGGCGAAAGTGCGCAGAGTTGGCTCAGGTAATTAATAACATGAATGCAAAACTCTTGTAAGTATGTATCCGTTCTTTCCTTTTTGTATGAAAAACCATATGAAATCTTTTTAGATGAAGTCAATATTTATATAGCCTTACATATAAGCAATGAACAGAGTGTAGTTCATCAGCTATTTAATGCTTTCCTTTGTTTATATTGATATTTCAGCAATGTTTTCTTCAATCCTCAGGCATATGGAGACAGCAATGAAAACTTATTAGGTTCTAGCATTATCATGCTATATCTTGTGCCCTGCATCAACATTTATTTTGTTTTGAATGGCATTGTTTCGTATTTTTATTAATGTTTTTTTGTTTGTGTCTCAAATAAGGCCATACACGATGCCGAGTTCCTGATCGTTTATACCGGTGCCGGCATCTCCACCGCGGCCAACATCCCCGACTACCGCGGACCCAACGGCATTTGGACGAGACTGCAAAAGGGAGAGGATATTGGGTGCGTTCATGCTCTCGGTAGCGTATATGCTGGTACAAACTACTTGTGTTTCATTCTAGGGTCTCTCTATTGACGACTTGTGTTATCTTTATTACCTGTACTTGTTTTAATCAGATTAATTCATATCCAAATATTTTCGTCATTATTTGCCATTTATCTTTTATATTTTTGTCATTAACTAGTTCAAACTGTCAATGTCAACTGTCAACTGCTCGTATTTTGAAAAATATAAATGGTTAAAATAAATTTTCTGGCTAGGAAATTTATCCCTTAAATCTACATTCAACATATTCCCCATCATGCATTCATTGGTTAATAACTAATATATAATGATGTGAGTTTTATTTTACCTTTATAAAAGCAAATAAACTGCATACTACAGGAGCCACGACCTGACAGAAGCAGAGCCAACATTGACTCACATGGCGCTGTCAGCTCTACAGAAGGCAGGGCGTCTCCAGCACATAGTGTCTCAGAACTGTGACGGCCTGCACCTCAGATCTGGCCTCTCTAAAACTTCTCTCTCTGAAGTGCATGGCAACATGTACATTGAGGTATTGTCTTGCTTTTAAATGTAGGTGGCAAAGAAAGATGGAATGTTGCGTCACATGTTAAGTGCTGTTGTAGGCTAAGCACCAGAATTACCTTCCATAAAAATTGATTTACTGGAATAAAGTTTGTAATAAAAATGCATGAAGTGTGCAGTCAACTAATTTGTCACGCGGTTCATCCCATAATAACATTAATTCTTGTTCATTTAACTTTGACACAGGTTTGCCGAGGTTGTGTGCCTGCTCGTGAGTACGTCCGAACTTTCGACGTCACAGAACGAACGTCCACCTATAAACACGCCACTGGACGCCATTGTTATAGGTACCTATTTACTTAATTACATTATGACAGCTTGTTTGCAGGGCGACCAGATGTTTTAATCAGTTATTGATGAACTTTTAATTTCATCTTTATGTTACCATATAATCTCACTGAGTTTGTTTACATTTGGGATGTATGTGTAGATTTTAATCATTTATCATGACAGATGTGGTGAACCTCTGGTCGACAGCATTGTTCACTTCGGGGAGCGCGGCAAACTACGCTGGCCACTCAACTGGCAAGGAGCTTGTCAAGCTGCCAACGCTGCTGACACTATATTATGTCTTGGCTCTTCCCTTAAGGTATTGAATGAAGAATCCTTATTTGCAGTCGTGACATACTTTCCTGTTATCTTGCCAAGGCGAGAGGATGAACGTATTAAATTTGTAACTACAGAATAACTCGAGCTTTCATTTGCACCAGCAACTAAAGGTATATAATTTTATAACAAGGTCAGTGGGGCAATTCAATTTACTGGTGTAAACGAATTATTTATAATGAGACCTGATTCATAACAACTGTTCAAACTATTGCAGGTATTGAAAAAGTACACGTGGCTCTGGCAAATGGATAGACCGGCGAGACGTCGACCACGTCTCTACATTGTAAACTTGCAGTGGACACCTAAGGATAAAGAAGCCACCATGAAAATAAACGGTAATTAAACGGTTTCTGGAGTTTACACGATTTGCGAGTTCTTTTACATTTTTATTAACAAAGCGTTCGTTGTGGTATTAACTCTAATCGATTAATCTCAATTTAATAAGTTGAACTACTCTGATCACATCCATTCATTATTTATATTTCAAGTGAAATATATCTTTGCAGGCAAGTGTGATACTGTTATGAAGCTGGTGATGGATTTTCTTGGGGTCGAAATCCCTCGATATGATCGTTCAGAAGATCTAATATTCGAGATGGCTACTCCTCTGCATCCCGAGGAGCTGCACACCACCACTCGTCCCAGCCTCATACCGCCTGACGACAACAAAGTGGCCGGCAAAAGCGAAAAATCGCATTCATGTGATGAGCAGTTTTCTGATGACAAAATGTTTTCCAGTGACATAGAAACCGATCCTGATTCATCGCAATCTGTTAATAGATCTCTAGGCGACTTTCTCACATCAACAGAACTGGACGACAAACTCAAGACCTGCGATGGAAATGCTAAGTTATCCTCACCGCCATTGCAATCTAATTCTGGTGTAAGTGACGCTCTCAATGATGGTTGCCACCTATCTGATGGCAATATGAATACTGCAATTGAAAATTTTGACTCTTTAAAATCGAAAATAAACTTAGGGTGTGATTCTAGTCAGCATTTTTGCCATAATCGTAAGCAATTTAGCGATAACGTCAACTTTAAGTGCTCAAAAAGTGATTCTCAATATGTTAATGATAATATAGCTAAGACTCGAGATTTCATTGACAGTGACTGTGTTGTTAACTCCCATTCTGTATCGTCTTTGAGTTTGTCTTCTTCCAATAAGTTAACAATCTCAGATATTGGTCGTTCCGTCACAACTGTTACTTCCACTACCTGTGAGCCAAAGTGTCCGGAGAAAAGCTCCGTCAGTTTGGTTTCGCCCGCAACACATTCAACAGCTGTTGGCGACGATAACGAATCAGCTCCTCCGATGCTTCCGAATGATTCTCTTAGTACATCTATTGCGTCAGACCGCAACAACTGTAAGCACTGTACCACAGGCTCTTGCATTCACTGTGAGGTACTGAGACTTTTCTCTGGCATGGCTGGCAATGAGATGCCTTTTGAAAAGTGCTGCAAGTGTGAAGTTGTCATGAAGAAGATGGTTTCTTGTGGAGCTGCTGCCAAACTCATGCGATGCGATAGATGTAATCTTTTCTTACGATTTTTTCTCAAAGGCACTTGCCGTTCGAATGAGGACATAAAATCGGAAGTCAATGCTGGCTGCACAGTTGGCCAGCTTTTTTGCAGCTGCTTCGAAAAAGGCGAATTGGTTCCTGGTGACATGAAAGTGGCTGTGAACCCTATATGTGACGATCGTATAAGTGCGACTGCAGCTGCAGCTGCTACTGTCACGTCCTTCATTGCCACTGTTTCAAAGTCAAATGATTCCGTGAGTCCCGTCGCAGCTGCTGTGAAGAAAGACTGTGCTCCAGATTCTCCCGGTAATGATAGTGTCATTTTACTTGAAGGAAATGATTTTACTATAAATAAAATCGAGGATTACAACCTCACTGAATCGATCAGCGAAATAGTTGTTGCCGGTTTTACTAAAATCAAGAAAGAGCTGAAAGAAGAAGACGATGCTGTTAAAAGTGAATTGACTGAATCGTTCAAAACGGAGGGCATCAAAGATGAGAAATCAGAATGGAAATGTGCCGATACCTGCGTTGAAATAAAGTCCTGCAAACTGGAAGACGACAAACGCGACGAACGTTTACTCTCCATAACTCAACCACCTTCCGATAATTTTATCAAGACCGCTTCTATCAGTAATATTTCTACTTCTAAGAAAGCTTCGTCTCCTGACGAGTCGTCCTCTGAAAACGAACGAGAAGTAATTATTTTGGACGATGAGGACGATTTCAAAGTAAACACTTCTCTGCCTACAAACAACTTTTACGGGACGGGCCTCTGCATCCGAAGTTCTATTGACAGTGGCCAAGACTCGACTTCCCAAGACGAATGTGACGAAGATCTGAGTGAAATAGAGTCGGTCGATATGGACGCGAATGGCGACGACGAAGAAATTCTTGAAACCGAGAAAGATGAAGCGGATGACAAACAATTTGACAAGGAATTCGTAACAATGAGCAGAACTCCCAATAAAGGTTCCTGTTTGATCAATAAGGTTTCGTATGACGAGGCGCAAGTATTGAAGCCTAACTCTGAAGACATGAGCCTCCAGTACGTCAGCAAGAAAAGAAGTGAAACTGATTCTGACGCGTTATCTTCCAGTAAACGACTCAAATTGGATGATATTATGGAGTTTACGTCTGGTGATAGTCTTGAAGGAGTAGCAGATGATCGTCAAGAGACAGTAGAAACTAGCATTGTTGGTAAGGAGAACGAACGGTGCTGGAAGAACAATAGATTATTGCGAATGACGAGTGAACCAAAACCCAAAGACGAGTCTCTGCTAGGGAAAAATTTGAAAAATGGTCTGTCAGGTACTAAGTATAAAAATGAAAAGAACTGTTCGTTTAAAGACACTCAAAGAAGAGACATCATAATTGAGAGCGATGTTCCCGAAAGAACCACGATTTCTAGTCCTATTCCTAACGGGATCAACCACAAAACGGCCAAATCTCTTTTGGATGCTGAAGCGAAGGAGCTCAAGTCCATTTGGTTCAATAGCTTCTGCGGAAGACGCGATGTTCAGGAAAGGGACGACAGTTTTTCTACCGTCAGCGAAAAAACTATTATTCCTTCACGACTGGCTTCCGTTTTGATGGGTAAAGTTCAAGATTTGGTTGAAAATAAGCAGCTATTGAAATCTAGGGAAACGAAACCTGAAGATGATGTTAAAAAATTATGGTTTTGGGGCTTTGATGGAGACATGATTCAACACGAAAATGGAAAGCAGCTCCTCACTGAAAAATTGGGCGCGGATGAACTTTCAAGCACTGTAGGTATTACAGCCGAATCTTTGGTAGAATCGTCGAGTGATTCAGAAGCGGCGGCGAACGGCTCACCTCCTCGACGCGTAACGCGGAGCAAAACTCGGTCAGCTCGTGGAGACACGAGTAGCTGCAAACAGTCCGGCGATGATTCTGATGAACCTGAATGCTGCCAGTTCTGTGAAGGAGGAATGAACCCTGATTTGTGTAGACGGTCTCGAAGTTCCCTCGACTCGAGACTGCCCCCTGACGACGTAATGATTCGCGCCCGAGCTGTCATCGCCAGAAGACGGAATACCAATTATAAGAAATATGAACCAATTTTTAATGTTAAAATTAAGACGGTTTCTCTAGGTAATGATAAGAAGTCGAAACGAAAACCCAAGGTTGTCTCTCGGTCAAACAACGAGAAGGTGCCAGCGTTAGAACTCTCCGATGATGAGGACTTGTGCGATAGATCTCCGAGTGAATCTAAAGAGACGGCCACTCATGATGCGATCTTGGAAGATGAACGTGAGAAGGTGCTCAAGAAGGTAAATCCTGGCTGGTATGGCAAAGGTTATCGTAAAATGATACGCAAGCGCGTGCCAAAAAGCTACCCATTAAAATGAAGAACGTTTGCTCTAGTTTTATTGCGTATCAATCTTAATGTCACTTTCTTTGCTGTGGTTGATTCGAACTAATTTAAGTTTTCTTTATCACGCCAAAGTACAAATTGTGTTTATTGTGTTAAGTTCTTGCATTTATTGTTTATGGTGGAGTGTCCGATAAATTGTCCGTTTCTCTCGGACCCTAGGTTCGATCGTCGCCTTAACTGTAGCCTTGTGTGATAGACGTCTCTCGTTAGTATCTGATATACGTGCCTCGTTTGTCTTCGATTACGCTATTCACGAAAGTATGGACGCTCGGGGCATTTTGGCGCTCCCAACCATATAACGATCTGCGGCAGATTATTCCTCTTACTCACCCTTCTTTATTTATATCAGTTACTTAGACTTGTAATTGACTATGGATTGGGGATTGAACCTTGACATTTTTCTTTTCATTTTTTGGTAAGTTTTGCTTGTTTATCTAATGCCCAAAGTCCTTTCCGGACGAAAAAGTATTAATTCCATGATATTGTACGAACTATCGTGTCCTAAACAATTACAGGATTGCGCCTCTCAGGCTTATTCAAGCAACTCACCTCATTAACACATGCTAGCGTAGGCCCATCTTCTTAGTTCGTTCATTCACTCAATCGTATAAGCGAGCTAAGGAACAACTCAACTGACCATTCCATCTCAGATTATTCTCATCAAGTCTAAATCTGTCTTATTACACTGCTATTATCATTGTGATTAATATAAATAAATGTTGGGGTTAACGATGAACGCCTGTACTGTTTTAATTCTAGTTAAATGTTGAACACATTATTGATCTCAGTAATCAATCGTGATTGGAAGTGTACCGGCGTTTTATCCTGTTCTCCTTTTGTGTGCGCTCGAATACCACTGTTTATTTATGTTTATTTTTCTTAGATTGAATGCAAGATAAAATGGCGTATTATGAGTCTCATTATATGCTAGAATAATTGGAAAAATTAAGTTTTAGTTCATCATTTGATAATGAGTGTAATTATCAGTTTCTCATTGTGAGAATTTGTTATTCTTTTGAGTCATAATTTTAAGTATTTATTTTTGCTTTCATTCGTGCATTCATCTTCCTTCGACGATGTGAATGCATAGCAGATCTTTCACTCCTGAGCTTATCCAGAGGTTGATCTAACTTCGACACCCAAATGAATTAGCTCATTTCAAGTCTTGCGGTTGATTTATTTTTCTCATCACTGCTCATGAAAAACGTTTGACAGCATCTATGTGTTTCGACAGTATCATGTTCTGGCATTATTCACTTTATAGTCTAGGTTTAGTTCATTTATTCGTAGGAGTTACATAGTGCATCATTCTGTTTAACGCATTAGGGAACCGTTTCATCGTGAGACTGAGCAAATCAGTTCTGTTTGATGCAGAAAGCTCCTGCAAGTCTCAAATAAGTCGTTCTCTTTAATTGCAATATGTCATCACTGCCGTGATGTAACATGCCATGATCTCTTTCCTAGCTACCGCCGCTGACAAACTTGACGGCCCAACTATCTATTTTATTTATTATTGGCCGCTGACGAACAACTGGCCAACTCGTGTTCACGGTGCTGATATTGATTTGGCCGGTTTTGCGAGCATTCGCCAAAACTTAGCATTTAAAACGTAAGTTATAAAATCCAATCCTGCTGCTATGCGTATGAAATTAATTTTTATATCACCATGAAAATATAGTGTGTATATTTTGTCTCGTATAGTCATACAATTTTACAACTACAACTTGTTGCGTTTTCTTTTTTATACTCGTGTTTGGGTGATGTCACAGAGACCGTCAGAGAGTGTTGATTGCATCACCACTCGCATGAACCAAATTTTTACCGAAACTAAACAAAACCAGCACTACTCGCCTCTGTGTTGAGATGCTCTCAAGTGCGAGGTGCACCAACAATACAGATTGTTTAGTTCTCTTCCCGTTGGTTAGCTTCACAAGCGAAATCTGCAAAGATTGTTTTTCGTCCCTGGAAGCAATGTGAGGTTGCATACATTTTTAACCCGGTCATACGCTTTTTATTTTAATTTTACACAAGATGCAACTTAAAACGATGGGAATTAAAACATTTTGTTAAATAGAATATTTTATACACTTCATAAAATTGTCTTTGATCGCAACTCGGTATTTCATGTCGAACAATTCCACAGAAGATGCACGCTCAGTAAAGAGCGAAGTTAGAGCGCGCAAGTTTCTCAACGAGCATGTAAATGAATACAACGAGATTCAATTTATCAATACAAATGGTCAGCGAAACCAAAACAATTCAACATAATTATAGACGCAACTGTTAAAACGTTTTCATTTATGCACTACATACGTTACAAATGCAACAAAAACTCAGATAATACTTAATGAACATCAGATATAATTACGTTGAAATATATAAATGTCGGTTTTCCATTTATCTGTTTTCCGAGTTACGCTTCACGCAAGCAAGTTTCAGTGGTGCAGTCGATATCAAAAGTACAAAAATACACATACGGTAAAGAGGTTAGTTAGTTCAGAATGTAACGAACTTCTCTGGACAAGTGCAATGTAACACTGAGCATGAGAGAGATGCAGCATGAGAGACCAAACTTCTCGCTCGCTCATAATTAATGTCGGTCTTTGATGATGGTTTACATGGCATGCACACATTTATGAAGTCAACAACACGAGATAACTATTGGCCGAAATAAGTTCGTGAGCAATAGCGGTAACTAAAAGCTCTATTTGTTACTATATGAAGATAGTATTCATTTTCAGGGACCGTGCCTAGCCTAGAGATTAGTAAAGAATCAATGCAGTCCGAGCGAAGGCAATTGTCAGCGTAACCCTTGAAAATTATGCAATCCCAAGTCAACATGTGACCAAACCAAGGCGGTAATAACGTTACTCAATGAATATTTTCATTATTGAACTGAGTCTCAATTTACCATATTTATAGTTGGGTTTGGCGAAAACACGATTCATGGCGCGCTAAAGTATTATTGAATAAAATACTGGATTAATACTAGATGCATCTTTGATGTGAGGAAAAGTTTAGGCCGGCAATTACGTCTAAACCCCTTAATCTTCTGCATTGTACATCGGCTCCATTCCATTATCAAATATAAGGAGCCGATATGATGTAAAAATAGTACAAAATGTAAGCTAGCTAGTGAGTATGCTGTGGTAAAAGTTATTATATATAATAATATAGATTATAATGCACTCACACTCGTTCCGTACAGAGGATTCTTTAGATATCACTACACTTATATTTAAATGCGGTCGAGTCACAGATCTTCTTCCGAATAGAGCTCACAAAATGCGTAATTACGACACAGACTGATGGCGTAAGTCGATAATTTAAATACCTTATCAACAGCGAGAAAATGAGCTTAGAATACGACTGGAAGACATGAGTAGTACTGTCCGTAACTTAACAATTATACAGATCGGTCAATGTGTTGCACTCAATACAAACGGATGGCAACTATCCTATAGTTCTTGATGTTTGTAGAGAAATACTAGTTTTTGGTTTCTCAAGTGAATTTGTTCACACCCGACTGGCCGTGAACTTCAAGTAAAATGTATAAATTAACGATTGGAAAGAATAAAATCGTTACTTGACAATAGGGAAAGTACCAAAATTTGATTCGCACAAGTTAAAGGCACTTAAACAGGAAGTAAAAGTTGCACGAGTCAAAGACACTTAAACAGAAATCAGACTAATCATTGACTTTGGGCTTCACTCGTGGAAAATAGTTCAAACCAACAAAAAATGTAAGACATGTGTCGGTAAGTTGTTTCCATGGTCGTGATCAAGTCAATTTTCCTCAAAAAAAAAAAAATCGACACGTTCACTTCTAAAACTCAATTACTATAATTAGAAAAGTTACAAGTTTAAATGTAAATAATTTTATATGAGCAGGTTATTGCACGATATAAAACTTTTTTCAAATCGTTCCAGCGAGACAAAATTAGACCGAGTTCAAACAGTCAGTTTGATGGCTTAACGTTAAGTGTGATTCAAAGTAAAGATTTACGAACAACCGTACTTGGGCACGTAAAATATATGTAAACAAAAATCAATATTCTAATAAACCTTTTTGAAAAGTTAGAAACGTAGCGACGTGGTCGAGCCATTGTGACGCTGAATGTTACTAGCATAAGCTAGGTAAAGGCAACTGGTTTCTGACCAACAACTAATCTTACAGAAAGAATTTAAGAGCAAACAATTAAATTCTTGGTGAACCTTCGATTGAAGCAAACTAATGATATAAGATCTTACAGGAAGTAATGAGTATATATACGTGTGCAGTGAGCACACAACACACAAGATTCTTGCCATCTTAAAATTCTTCAATATTAGGTTGAAAAATAAGTAACATGCAACACTAAATAACTACGAACCAAACAGAAAGGCCCACAAACTGAAGTGAGAAGATTATATATACTTTAAACTGCAGGGGAGTTTAACATATAACATTTAAATACTTAGAAACAATAATAGATTTATCAATGAAGCGCAGATACTAACAAACTTCATCATCTTCTGCGCCCGCAAAGTTTCTTTGCATCTGCAAGTCAAGTCATGAAATCTATGGAACAGCAACAAAGCTGAAAATGATGCCTAGTAAGGCAGCCAAAGCGTTTATACTTTGTCAATGTTAAGTCGTAATTACAGCGAGTAAACAAGTTAATCCCTATTAATGTTATACAGAAACAATACTGCCAGTCTATAATTCAGTCATTCCAATTGGAAACAGAATCTGTCAACGCACGATATTTAGTGATGGGTTGAAAACTTGGACATCGAAATTTGAGAAACAATATACAAAGTAACCTAGAGTCTCCATCTAGAGGGCAAATTCTTTAACGCTTCTGCCACACCTCACTTTAATTTCGGAAATAATTATTTTGATTATTTCCCTCTATAAATGATGTTAGGAAGCTTTATAATAAACTGATCGGAACGAACACATCGTCGACTGTGACAATTGTGAAAAATTGCTCAAAATTATTGCGAAAAATTGCAGCAACGGTCAATGCTTGGCATGACAAAGCGCAGAGGAGTCCTCATCTGCTGGAGCACGCCTCCTGATGCCCCCCGATGTTATTGGATGCAATGTACAACAATATTGTTCCATTAGCAATGCTGACACCACCAGCAGTGCTGACACCACCAGCAGTGCTGACACCACCAGCAGTGCTGACACCACCAGTAGTGCTGACACCACCAGCAGTGCTGACATCAACAGCAGTGCTGACACCACCAGCAGTGCTGACATCACCAGCAGTGCTGACACCACCAGCAGTGCTGACACCACCAGCAGTGCTGACATCACCAGCAGTGCTGACACTGTGAGTAAAGCATCAGCACCGCTGGCCATCACTTGCCAGTGCCGATGACGTGTCTCGCCTCCATGGCCATGAGAGCGGCCTGCTGCAGCGCCTTCAGGAAGGCGTAGGCGGAGGGCGCAGCCTCCGAGGGCGCTGAGAGGCGCACCTCGGCCTCCTCCATCAAGCCCGCCTCAGCGCCACCTGACGCATGCGTACCGTTATCACTCTCAACTCATCAACTTTTAAACAAATTCGATGCCCCCATTTCACGTACCTAATCATAATCGTCAGGACAATTTATAATAGAGTCTTAGAAGTCCATTACATGCACAATTAGTCAACGCTGTAAATTGTGAAGAAATCATGAAAAAATTTAAAGCACTCACAATATTCTCTCAGCTCTTCATTTCTTACGCAAGTAATACTAAATAAAATACTTTAAAAAAATTTTTTTTAAAAAACACGTTTTTCTTGTGGACTAAAAGTAGAAAATAAATTATGGCTCGCCCCAAAAAACGTGTGTCGGGCAGTTTTATGATTAAAGCGAAAAGCACACAACACACGAATTTTGGAAATTTGATGGTGAACGTACAGCCCGACCCACGTTTTTTGGGGCGAGCCATAATTTATTTTCTACTTTTTAGTCCACAAGAAAAACGATTAAGACTTGATTAAGTATGACTTGACGTACGTATCGATGATACGCAGCGTCAGCGCCTGCTCGTCTATAACGTCAGCGCCCGCACGTCATACTATATATATACTTTACTCAATTAAGCTAATTTAGGTCTCTAATTGCTAGTTTTATGATTGAATCTGAAATTGTTAGGCGAATATAGCCTGCATGCCGTATTTCAGATCTCTAGAGCAATACGAAGTGGGCTAATTTTCGTTGTCAATGTTAAACAACAAACAAATCCACAAACAAACGCAAAGCAAAGTTAAGAAAAACGTGTTAAAAATACCAGTTGTAAGTCCTCTCACTGACCGAGTCGTCTAGTGAATGATTTTTTTTTCATTTCGATTAAAGAACAATTCATTATTCGGTATTATTCGAGATTCGAAAATTTGTAGAGAAATAAACTAATACATTAGATCGCGGCGAGTACACAAGTAAATCAATCATGTGCTTGTTAACTTTTTAAGAGGGCCCTCAAGTACAGACGCAAGACCGAGTAACGTACCGGACTTGTATGTGAGAACAACGCAGTTCAGATCACGGTCGGCGTCAGTCTCGAAAAATCCGGGGTTTGTTGCATCGTCCGCACCACTGGACTCGATGGCCTCGTCCGAGTCGCTGCAGCTGCGGCCCTGACAGTCACCAATATGGATTAGATGTCAGGAAAATAGTAATGAATTTGCTGCAACAAAAAATCATTGCTACTGTCCAATATAACACCACAATAATCTCATCATAATAAGATCAATGCCGTTTTGCTCAAGTTATGAATTGCGCAGTGCCCGAAATTAGGCAATCTGTTGATAATTTTGCGTAATTTTTGCAATAACTTGTTTTCAAGTTGCCATTATAAGCTGTGCGATACTGATCAAATCATATGAATTTGTTGACAGAATTACAAATTATGATTATATACAATTTTATAAATTATGGGTATTTATAAATTACATTTTAAAAAAGTATCGAGTTATTATACTATTATCCTCATTAAGAAGAGACATTCCATCAACTCGCGCTCAACATCAGCTCACACCTTCACTGCCAAATCTGGGAACACGCATTAATGCAAGCTTGATGCATACAAAATATTAAATGCTTCATGTACACTCACCCTTAAAAATATTTTTTTTTTTCTAATGTATTTTTGACAAACCACAGTTACAGACATTACGTACGGTACTGATTGGCATTGGCAATAGCATGAAGCTGCCGTTCCAAAAACTAAACATATCAGTCATCTCAGAATATCCATAGAGGGGAGAATTTAATAAGTTAGAGTGACACACTTTGGAGACGTGCATTGCAGTCAGTTTATGAATGGGCAGGTTAAGGCTGACATCAGGCTGCTGAATCTGCAGGTAGCGATGATCAGGAGTCAGTCGGCAGCTTGACAGAATCGCTTCAGACTTCCTGCTATCACTACTCATCGTCAAGATTGCCCCACTCAACAGTGACTGGAAGAAAAATATTTCAGATAAAGCCCATGCAAACTTCAAATATTAATCAGATGTTCAGCCAAATAAATTGCGTCAAGGCGAGTTAATACTTCAATCCAATTCTTATTGATTTTTTCAGAAGCATCAATTGTTATCACAAAATCAGAGGTGTACTTAATTTTTCAGTATAAATAATGGAGATAATATTACAGGGTCCGCCATAATTATGGCAACAGATGTTTGCTATATAAAAATAAATTGGTTGCTAGGAGACTTTTCTTTTATAATGAAACTTAATATCATCTATTTTATATTGCAGAAATCTAAGGTGTCTAAATTTACAATTACTTATGGCAGTAGATAGAAATGCAATTGTAACCCTTCGTGAAAAGGGCGAGAGTAATTCAGTCATTGCAAAAAAGCTCTAAATTTGTCGTGAAACTGTGTGGAAGGTGGTAAAAAAAATTCAAGGAAACTGGTGAAACATGCAATCAACCTGGTCAAGGAAGGAAACGAAGTGTCCAAACAAAACAATTGGTCAAAAACACGAGGGATAAGTTGAGGAGAAACCCTCATCGCTCAGCTGCAAAATTGGCTGCAGAAGCAGGAGTCAGTCAGACATCAATGCGTAGAGTCCTCAAAGATGACCTCAAAACCTCCCCTTACAAGATGCAAACAAGGCATGAACTAAAAGACCGTCATAAACGAATGAAGCTTGAAAGATGCCAGCACCTTCTGGATCTCATTGAGGATGGCGCGCTGCCCAACTTGGTGTTCAGTGACGAGAAAAAATTTGACATTGAACAAAGTGTTAACCGTCAAAATGCCAGAGTTTGGAGTTGGGATGGATCTGTGGCAACGAGAACAGCAACACGACGTCAAAATCCCACGTCCGTGATGGTTTTGGCCATGGTAACTGCCACTGGGAGGTCCCCACTCGTTTTTGTCCCCTCAGGAGTGAAAGTGAACAGTCAGCGATACATTTTGGAAGCTGTGTTGTTACCTGTTACCTTGGGCCCATAAACACTTCAACGGCTCACCATGGAGTTTTCAACAAGACTCTGCCCCATCACATGGCTCAAACATGACCCAAAACTGGATTTAGGGTCACATCCCAGCGTTCATTAGCAGAAATGAATGACCCTTAAGAAGCCCCAATTTGAATCCTCTCGACTTTTCTGTGTAGGCTATTTTAGAGAGTAGGGTCTGCAGAACACCTCATGATTCTTTGGATAGTTTGAAGTCTAAATTGACACAAGAATGGGACTTGATCCCTCCAGAAATGCTGCGTGTCTCCTGTGAAGCTTTCCCGCGTAGATTGGAGGCCGTCATTAAAAATAAGGGTGGTCATATTGAATAAATACGTCTGAGAATTATTTAGGTAATTCTAGGCTACTAGCTCATACAATAAAAAAACAATGCACCTGTTTGTTTCATCGAAAAATAACAAAAAACATGCATTGCCATAAATATGGTGGACCCTGTATTGTCTACATTATGAAGTGTTAAAGCACAGAACTTCAGTCACAGCACTGCATCAAAACATAAAGTTATTAACCTTGAGGTGGTGATGGTAGAATCTGTTTTCTAGAGTAGTCGTGGCAGCACATGGCGAGCAGACACGCACAGGATCCAGAAAACACATTCGAGGAAGAGCCAACCGAGCATTACAACATCCCGCACAGCAGACACGACCACAGCGCCGGCAGTGGTGCTGCATAGAAACAAGATATATAAAAATCTAGTCAAACACAACAACATTTTTGTGAAAATTTTTGAAGAACCAGCAGATAAGGACCATCAATCCAATGGGTCTATGAAACACTTATATTTATTTTGTGTACAGTGCTTCACACAATGAATAATTGTAATATTCTCAAATATACAATTAGCTTACTAATATATGCACATGAATAAATTATAACACTGAAACCTAATTGAAATAAGTTTACATTTTTCAATTATTTTATGGTCAAAATTTCAGGTTCATATAGCATCAGACAATGGATGATTGATAAATAAATCTCATCAGGTACTACTTGCTGTGGAGATTCTTAGTTACTTTCTTAACTCTGACTTACACGTCTTTTCAGGAAGTCAAACTTTTCTTCACATTCCATGCAAACAGGGCTCTGCAAATATTTTTAAGCATTAGGATAAAAGTTAACACAAGACTGGATCAAAATACATATCTAAACCAAAAAATCCATCACTGAAGTTTTAAAGCAGACACCTGCCTGTAATTTTCTTCAAGCTAAATTTTTTATTACAGGAAATCTGTTTCTTACTACAGACCTTAGCAGAAGTACCGTAAAATGGGGTAACTTAGACCACTTTTTTTATAAATGATGCAATTTTTTTACTAGCTAAATTAAACTTAAATTGAAATGTGCAAAATACAGATCTATACTCTAGCTTCACTCACCATAAATTGCTGGCTCCTGCCTCTTACTGCCTCTTATAGTCTTTATGTAATTTCAAAAAAATGATGGTCTTTGTTACCCCAGCTCTTGGGGTAACTTAGACCGGGTGGTAAAATCAATTATATTTTTTGGTCATTAATTGCAAGGTGTTTGCACTCGTTTGAAAGCTACAGACAAGACGCATTCCAAACAGCAGCCTTATTAGCAGAAGGTTCTTCAAGTGACTCTGACAGTCCAGGGTTGAGTGATGACTTGGTTGCTGACTATTTTTTCTGACTATAAATAAAGCATGATGGGGGTGTGCATTTGGCCCAAACCGGCATGACGTCTATAGACGTTGTTGAGCGTCAATGTGTTAAAAACCAGAAAAGCCAAAATTTCAACCTTTGGACTTAGATGCTCTCCTTAAGAGGTGCAAAAAAGACTAGTGTAGCTGTGTTTTGTGCAACAAACTAAGTTCACTCCAATTCTGAGACTAAAATGCATTTACTGTGTATATTTTTAAATCAAAATGATTTTAATTTTTAGAATTTAGGGAGTCGTTTGTCTTCAAACTTTGAATCCATTATTACAGAAGGGGAATATGATGGCAATAGTTGCTTGAATGGACAACTCTTGGTCCACTTTCTAGACCAAAATCAATGGAAACAATAAATTGCAATAAATTTTGTTTTTCATATTTTATTTATTTAATATAAGCATATGTGATAAATAAATTATATATTTTTCTTTATATTTTGTGCATTTTGGTGGCATAAATTTTATTATTAATTTTGAATAATAAAAATTATCTACATGTGCCTACCATGCTAATACATCATTACATGTAGTACCGGTTAATGTATTTTTGATTGGTTGAAGCAATCACGGTTCACAAATCACAAATATACCTATGTCATTTCACAAAATTTTCAACTTCTGCAGTTCAGTACCACGTTCCCACCAAACTATCCTGCATACCGTAAAATGGGGTTACTTTGACCGGCGGGGTAACTTTGACCACTTTTCGTGTTTTTAACAAAAACCCCCAAAACTCAAAAACGATTCGACATAGAAAAATTTTGTCAATGGCCATCAAAGGACTAATGCTGAGGCTACGTAACACAATAGAAAGAAGATCTAATAGGTTAAAAAATTAAAAATGTGACCCACGAAAAAGAGCTATGTCAGAGTACCCCCTCCAATTTTTTTATTTTTTGGTAAAATAACTCCAGGTTTTGATGCATTGTAGTAAAACTTTCCTAGTTACATACACTTGTGCCCGAAATTATTCATACCCCTTCAGAAATATAATAAAATTCCAATTTTAATGAACAATAGAGAACTTTCACAACTTATTCTTCTAGAAAGGGTTGTCATTATTACGTACAACAAATTTAATGCTAGAAAATATGTATATAATAACTTTCGATAATAATTACTTTGAATTTTATGAGTAACTAACCGTTCAGAATTATTTGCACCCTCTTATTCCAGATCATTTATCATAATATTAAAGAAGAACTATTAATGAAAATAGTAGTAGATACACAATAATTGTATTAAAAAATTTGGTGTTCCTAAGCATTGTAATATTTTTCTCTGCAAAGTTTGAAAAAATAATTTTTTTTCACAATTTAGGAAAAAGTTAAAATTTTGCTAAAAGTTTGAAGATGGCAAAGCTTAGTGATGATCTCGGAAGCAAAATGATAAATTCCCGCAAAGAAGAGATGAGATATAAAGCAATATTTAAGAAGTTTGATGTTCCTACGTCAACAATACAGAGCATTATAAAAAATTCAAATCATTTATCACGGTGGATAACATGGTTGGTTGAGGAAGGAAAGGACAAATCTCCCCTAGATATGCCAGAAACATAACGCGCTCAATTTGCAACAATTATAGGATCACTAGTAAAGAAATTCTATCAAATTTGGATGCTTTTGATATGTAGGTATCAAGACAAACTATCACTTTTTTTTTGAAATTACATCAAAACTATGAGAGGCAGGAGCCAGCAATTTATGGTGAGTAAAGCTAGAGTATAGACCCGTATTTTGCATGTTTCAATTTAAGTTTAACTTATCTAGTAAAAAAATTGCATCATTTTGATAAAAAAAACGGTCAAAGTTACCCCATTTTATGGTAATGAGTGAACTCAAACCAAGATGCTTTGTCAGTGATTGCATATTGCAGTCACTTCAGACTGCACTATAACTGCGTTTATTCTTCAACAAAAACACAAATAAAAAAATAAACATCATGTGTTCAGTTGCCTCTAAAATAAAGACAGATGTTCTTATTGCTGTTTCTAGTGTAAAATTAGCAATTTAAGATAACAGGTGCAGTCCAGCAGTCGTGCACAGGACTTTGCAAATGAGTTTGTGGCTCATAAATGTCTTTTCACCACCAAGATATGGTGTTCACAGCTCTATGAAATGGAATCACAGCTTGCAAATTTATATAATCATGGCTCAAAAAATCCAGTCACAATCTGGAAAGTAGATATTTTCCTTACTAGATTCAACTCAGGAGCATCCATGATCATGATGTCTTCACCATAAAATTAAGTAGGCATTTTACTCAATACTCATTCAACCACAGTTAATGTTATTGTTACCATTATTATTCAAGTTTTATTGTGCATAAATTTTTTATATACATTAGCTAATTAATACTGTAACCTCTTCCTCCCAATACATGCGCAGAATGTTCAGGGCTCAGGCTGCTAAAAATTGCCACTAATTCCGCAGGAAGCTTAAAATAATAATTAGATTTTAACTGAACTCCGTTCCATTGTGCAATCTGGGAAACAAAAACCACAGGAATTTTTAAGCAGGAAGCAATGAGTGAGTCAGAGTGACAGTGACTAGTGTCAGCTGAAAGCCAGATGCACACACACCGCAGCAGCTAATAGATAGGACAAGATGTTCATCATGAACATCTTGTCTGATCTATTCAAGCTCTCCTTCTCATTCAAGTTCCCACTGTGCTGAGTGTGGATGAATATTGCAAGATCTTTGGCAATGCTTCAGTAGCAAAATTTATGCCTCCAGAGTCCAGAAGATCTTGCTGACACATTTAGATTGAAATTCTTGCATTTAATATAATCTTTGCTGGCTTAGTTATGGAATCCAATTTATATGAAAAAATGTGTATTGTGTGCTTAATACCAGAGAGGAATTAGGAATTTTGTATTGAAATTTGCTATGATGATTAAGAAGAAATTGTCTACTTAGTACTTACATCTTCATCTGGAATCCATTCCGGTTCAGCCAATTCAAAAGGGCTCCTTTCATTCTCATTTGCTGGAATGATTCGAAGACCAGACTTGCTCTTAACTAATCGTTTGCATGAAGTAGACGTGTTACTCATTCTAGAGATGAAACAAATTTACAATATCAATACGAGATATAATGCCAGCGCAATAAAGAATTGACTTCCTAAGTCCTAAATTCACCATCAGCAGATGAGCAACACCTCCAAGCTCCACCGGACCACCAGACTCCGTTCGTTCCCTGCGGACCCTGCCTTGTCCGCAGTTGAAGAACATTTTTTATTTAATATTTTTGCAATGGTAAACTATTTCATGAAGACGACAGTAGAGAATCAAATGACACGAGTGGAAATGAAAATAAAATAATATATGTTTAAAATTTTTTTTAAAAGACAACACTTCTAAAGAATCCAGTGTTTCCAATGTTACAGATGTACAATGAATTTCTAACTTATTTTCGAATATTAAAAAAAATTATTTTTCGATTCATTTTAATCTATAATTTTTTCAAAATTATTTATTCTGTCAATTTATTCATGCATTACCTCCAACTTCACACAAGTGTGCAAAATTTCAGGTCAATTGGACAGGTAAAAGTGTGTCAAATATTTGTTATAAGATATGTAGCTGACAATTTTTTTCAATTTTTGTAATATTAAAATTTTTTTACTTTTTAAAATCATTTGTTTTATCATTTGATTCCGGTATTATCTCCAACTTTACGCAAGTGTGCAAAATTTCAGATCGATAGGATCAGTAGAAGTGTGTAATTTTGATTATAAGAATTGTAGCAGACAGACAGACAGACAGACAGACAAACAAACAAGAAGTGAAGTTTAAGAGAAGTGTTGTAAAAAGGGGGGTGAAAAAATGAAAAATCGAAAAATTCTCGAAAATTTTGCGGAAAATGCTCCCCCATCCACAAAAATTCTAAATTTGAAAAAAGCTAGGACGAATCGATAGATATGGTCCTTACGCATCGAATGACATGCGTCTCGATGTTGTAGCTTCAAAATCCTAGGAGGAGATAGATTTCTTCAGTACCCCGTTTTTTTGCAGTTTTCTAAGAATTTCACATTTTCTTTCATTTTTTCGAAAAATTCACATGAACAAAAAAGTCTTAAAATTCTGTTTTACACAGGTGTATTAAGTTTCAAAAGGATCCGTCCGTAAATAAAAAAGTTTTTCACCCCCCAGACGCTCCCCTTAACCGCCCGGCCTCCTTGCCGATTCTGACCAAAAACTGGCGCACAGAGCTGGGATCGAACTGAATCCTGGTACTCTGAACTATAACCACTGGGCCACCCTGTCCTGACTGAGCCACCATGACCCATGCAGACTGATCTAATTTTGCAGACTGATCCCAAACCGTTCAGCCTCATCGCTGAGATGACCAGAACTGTTACAGGTAGCTGGGATCAAACCCATAGCTCATTGCTGCAATCATGACACTCTGACTGTAACACCTGAGCAACCATACCCTGTTAAGTTCCTAAACCAATAGTAAGGAACTCCTGGTTTTTGTAGCTTCGTCCGGTCGCTAAAAATCTTTAGCGAGTAGCAGAGAGTTGTACGTTGGGGCCTGAATTTGCCTTAGATTTCTATGTCCATACGTGAGTAATTTGGACTATCTGATGGTTCGCATTGTAAGTCTCATTAAATATTCATACAATATTTTTCTCATCTTCAGTGCCCATCCGCGTGTGTCTGCATCACTTCAGTTCAATTTTGTTTTCACAAATTGCAATCACTGCAGCAATTAATCAACAAAACGTCCTACATTGTCGAGAGAGCTTCAACTGAATTACATATATTTCTCCATATTTACGAACTCTCAGGGATGATGTTTAAAACCTGTAAGCCACCTAGGTCTATGAAAATGTAACTAGTGGTGTTTGACCACCTTACTTTTAACGATACGATGTTTGCAAAAATTAACGAAATAATGAGTATTTACAATAAACAAAGCAAGTGTTCCTTCAGCTTATACGTAAAGTTCTTATGAAAAAGCAGCGTCACCGAGATGACTCACACTAGGACTCAATCGTTTTTATAACTAATATAATTGAGCTTCCCTGAAAAATTCATTTACATAATGAAGGATATTTGGTCTTTATATTTATTCTTGGCATCACACTATACCAAAACGACAGTAACACAAATGTTAGCACAGCTAACAAATATAATTGAATAAGATATAAAAAGTCCTGTCAGATTCTAATTCGGGGATAAGTAAAACACAAGCAAATGAGAAAATTTCTGTACGTCTATTAGAGCTTAGTATAAAAAATATTCATGTCTTTTCAGGATTTATGGCACACACCATCCCAAGATTGATCAATATTAAACGCTTGGACACATTTATTCTTCTCGAGACAATGCAAATCGGAAGCGACCAGCAGCTGGTTTTTATCCAGAAATTTGGTCGATAGATTAGCTGTATGGATGGCAGCATCTCACAGAAGTATAAACGTAAAAATCGACTAATTTTATAAGTGTTTACAAAAATTCTGAACAGAGTACGACAAAAATATGATGGTGAAATTCTTCATGTGTTCAATAAGTGAAACCTCATGACGGGCTAGATCGTTTTATGACGATCATACAGGGTGTTATTATTCTTGAATATAAAAATAATTGAGTAGGCTATGTTTGAAAATCAAACTCCACAGACTAACACAACTAGTTGGCACTTCAGAGAAAAGTGGATTAGAACATATTTATTTATTGAAATTACATCGTTAATGAGAATTATTATTTTGAACAATTTTGGCACTAATGTTGCATAACAATATAAGTATGGTATAAAATACTGCTGTCTACTTCAGGGATGTTTGGCCTATCGAAGCTTCTAGATAAGGAAGAATTTGAACAGCTAGCTGCGGGTTTCGAACTAGTAACTCGCTGCTACAATCCTGCTAATTGCGGTTTCCTTGAACCTCGAAATATGGCATTTTGATTTCAGTTGATCATCTGCTCTACTTCCCCATTAATTACGAGTAATGAAAATAAAAATATGAATTCAAATTTGTAATGAGATTAAAATGAATTAATTTTCAACAGTTACGAGCAGAACTAGTGCAGTAAGCAAATGAATCTACATTACGATCGGCCAGACGTTATTTAACGAAACAAAATAGCATGACAGATACGAAAGTATAAAAATAAGTATTTGTCTCGTAGAATAAGCAACGGACTTCGCCAATAGTTTACATAAGAAGTCAAATAGAATTTTCTTCGTTCCATTAAAATAAGTTGGCTGTGCACAGACATGTCGTCCCAGTCACGCATTCCTCTTAGGTTATAAACTACTTAATAAGTTATCGAACGGCCTTAAAATAAAAGGTTAGTCTTATAAGCTAGTATGGAATGTTAAAAACCAGTATGAAGTTGAGCAGACTTTACACTTAAAATGCTCAAAATGAGCTAACTCCGTCATCTAGGACACGAATATGTACGATCATGCGCACCGTCAGTTTTACTGATGGTTATTTGCACGCTATTAATTCCTACGCTATAATCAGCACAACATTCATGGTTGCCACTGCAACAGAAATAATAGCTACAAGTGCTTTCCATACATTTTAAACGACTTTTCCAGTAAATCATGCACAATTCAATACATTCATCGGTCGACTTACTCTTGAAAAACACGTGTACGCATACAGACAAGTGCCTGTCTGCACCAAGTAAGGTGTCGGTTATGACACATTAGAAACAGTCGATACATTCAACTCGCTAACTTAACAATTTCAACATTACGTCTAACATTGGCATGGCTGTCTAATGTTGATGAACTATGCAAAGTTTAGGCTTGTCTTTTCATATCCGTCTTTTAAAATGAACATTAATGCTCTGAGGTTTTTCTGCATAGCAAGAAACTGAAACCAATCTCTACACAAATTAAAAGAAACATGGATATAATCGATCTAGGTTACCATCACTACTTCACTACACAACTGCCTTGTTGCTTCTAAGTAGCATATCGGCATCGTAAGTTGACAAGCTTGAAGACTTACAAAGTCAGTTACTATTATAAAAAATTGTATTGAGAGCTACAGCTATCAACGTAAGTTAGTAAGTAAATTGATGCAGACAAATTAGCTATAACTAATGTATCAAGAAGTAATTACATTAGAGACTTATGAACATAACAACGTGGAAACAAAGAAAATAATTAACGAAGAGCTTTGTACAATATGCACACTAAGAATCAACAAAATGATTTAACAACGACAAGTCTGAGCTCGGGTTACAGTTTTATTCTGTAATAATTCACTATGAAAATTCTCTTTCTCGCACCGGCCGTAACTTCGTCAACATAACCAGCATATCCCTCATGTCATCTTCAAGAATGAATGTAATCTTCTTCAGTCCAAGCAATCGCGCTGCTCAATTTCTTTTCACGCAATTTTTGAGCTTAAAATGTTGGTGGACGTATTTAAATTCACTCGATTCTTTGCTCAAATTTAAATCGAAGGAAGAATTAAGTAAAAGGAAGAATAACACAATGGACAGCCAATACGAATAAATAAACTTGACAGAGGGTATTCTGTTCGAAACCCGATATGATTTAAATTTCTAAAGCGTTGAATATAAGAAACAGAAACAATATCGGGATTGGTTGGTTTAAAGTTTGTAATTTAGTTCCCGTGAACAAACTGTAAGCATTTATATCGAAGCTCCTGCCTTGATTCATTCAAAACAGATTTTGGAGCCCTGCAAAATATAAACAGGAGCTATAAACCCAGACAATGTGAACTGAAATTAAATACGACAACCATATCAAATGTGACATGGAAAGTCCGTGGTGAAAATATTGAACGGATAATGCACCAACCTTTAACATAGATGACTCTTCCTGGGTTGAGATGCAAAAAAAAATCTTTAAAAAAACGCGCTGCAGGAAAAACGATGGAAATATACATACAGGTAACGTCGGGAGAACGTCCATTAAAAAAGAGCAGGTCTACCGAATAGGAGTGTATAAAGAACTGTAACGAAAAGAGTTGGGTCTTCTTCTGTACACGAAAAACTTAAATTACCTTCATTCAATCCCCTTTCTTGATATCGACAAAAATGCAATTAAATTCTAGCATTAAACCCAAAAGCATATGCAGAAAATGCAGAAACAAGCATAAAGACTTGAAGCTGCGACAGGCATGCGATGTTTCGAGGATTATTGGTGTGAGTCAGCGACAACATGAGAGGACAGCCTCGACGACAAGCACGTCTTTAACAGCGAATGTCTATAAGAAAATAGGCGGCAAATAGAATATGAATAAATACAGAGGCGGAAGATGAGTAGAGTTGCACGGCAAATAACATGACTGGCGATATTATCTAATTAAGGAAATACACACAAGTAAAAGAGATATAGAATGTTATAGAAAACGTGGAGTGAACACAAGCTAAACGCTACAATCGACCTTACATTCTATTTGGCACTTGGGCTAAGGTGAGAATCGTTTCAGGGCCGAAGATGCGTAGCAGTGGAAGAACCCGGGACTTCTACCAGAGGGGGGCGGGCGAGCGGCGTATGTTGGTCGAGAATTGCTCTAGAAAAACTCGTGTTTTGCACCATCAGTTGGAGACAAAGAGTTGGATGAAAGCCCATAGGCTCAAACTTATTATACTATATGAAATAGGCAGATCCAAAGAGCTAAACGGAAAAATATTGACAAGAAAATGTTGAAGATAGATCTCCACTGAACAAAAATACGTAAGCATATCGACCAAGGAATGTAATTTTTCTACGGTGACACTAGATCTTTCTTGTGTGAACTGAAGCGCCAACGCCCTCGAGGAAGAAGTCGCCAAAGGACTTCCGCTGTACGAGCATCCTAACAATAAATAATCTAAGCTACTCACTACCCTAAGTAATGGAGTTAATAATGAACAATACACAGATACCTAAAACCATGGCATAAGAGTATCTCGCTATACTTTGTTCTCTGCACCATCACAAGTACATACATCACGGGGCCAGACTCTCCTGAACACATTTGGACAGAAAAGTCTGTACACTCTTCCCTGCTCATGCATAACTATTGGCACCATGATGAATCCTTCGCAGTTTCTAAAACATCATTACTATCAAGTTTCGACACGTTTAATACAATTTTTGGAAGATTTTTTTACAGATCAAACTCCACGATTTTCAACATTCTTTTGAAATTTTTCGAGAGATCGTACACAATATATTCGTATCGAATAACCAGGTTGTTTTTACAGTCATCGAATAAAAAAATACCCCGGGACGGAAGTGGAAGAATAAAATATCAATTATTTTTAGCAGTTTAGAGGCATTATTAAAAATGTTTAATATGAGATAAGCACAGATAGGAATGACGGAATTCAACATATTTCAACAATCGTCCGTAAATTAGCCTGCACAATTAAGCTGAAGCCCCTCAGACTTGATCCCAAATGTGAACCTATACGTCAACTCGTTGAAGTCGAAATTTTGTTAACCTGGTAGAAGAACATCGTACAGATTTTGCACCCATCATAGAAGCTAATTTGAAGCACTGCTTTCAAAGACAGAAAGTTTATGCTTAGTCAGTCACTGAACTGGTTAAAGGTGTCGTGTTTCAGAAGAACGAAATGAGAGAAATGCATAATTACCTTCACTGAATTCATTCAAATTTATTCATGCAATATGAGGATAGTTGAAAAATATACTTGAATTCGACAAGCTTTGCGCAATTGAGTAGCAAGAGAAGTCATCTACATCTGCATCTGCGCTGAGACTGACGGCACATTCCCAACATTAATTATGTAAACAACTATTTGCCAGGCCGATGAAAACGATTATTCAAACACTAAATAAATTCAATTCTACCTTCATCATGTCTAGGTGGATTTTCATGCTTAAGGATTGGTTAATGAAAAGAAAAGAGATGATTCAAAGTAATAGAGCTGTGAATGCTGCTACAGCCTGCTCTAAAAAACTCAAATTTTTTCTTCGAAAAATGGCTAACAAAATGCCACACGCATGAACAGTTGCGGGAGTGATGAATTGCTACCACAAAAAAATTGTCAGATGCAATCGCTCTAACTCGACAAAATAAAATTAATAACAAGAAAAGTGAAGCATAAAAATTGATTAACTGAGTGAGTGATAGTCCTATTTCCTTGTCAGGTAGAAATAGGGCTGCATGTAACCAATGCTCATAAATCATCTTTATATTCTATAACTTAACAGACTTAAGCAGCACAAAATAGGTCTGCCTTAGTGAATGATGACTAATTTGACACAAAGTTCCATAATATGGCACCCTAAATGCTTGGCGGTTTCTTAACTATAGCAATTCTTGGCACAGGATTTCATTGGAAGATACGCACATATTAGCTCCCATCTCACTAGTACGAATTCGTACAATCACGCACCGGAAGTCGAACTGTGTTCAACTTCACGATGATCCAATCGTTTGCTTGCTTTCCGGGTTTACAAAGCGGGAATGATAGAAAATTGCAACATTATTTGACGACTCAAACATTGATCGTAGTTCAAGCGAACACCTATTTTAAAATTCATTGAAGTGGAAGTCATACAAACTTACGAGTTGTTCATTACACTAAACACACACGATCACTTTGCGCATCGTTGGGGAGCTAGCAATTAACCTGGAGGGAACAAACGAGACGCGCATCTCTCAAGACGCACGTAATACTGAAACGACGTTGCAAATATGCAGCGCACTGCGTGAACTACAGTCTTATTTTAGAAGAATAAATTTGTATAGCCATGTAATGTCCGCACCATAAGATCACATGACGTGTCTCTAGTATGATGGATTACGCAATCCAGCAGAATGTCTTGTTGTAAATAAATTATATCCACAGTCAACACAAAGCGTGAGGTGATGGCATCATCTATTAAGCAATTAATAAATGTGTTAGCATTTAGCGCTACACTTTAAAATAAGAACATTTTTAGGAGAGTCATCTCGCTGCTCTAACATAAAGGATTTGATGCAATGAGCAGCATAAGGCTCCAGCAAGTAGTAACATTGAGCAAAGGTCTCCTACAAGTTGTAGGTGACGTGCAGGATGTCGTTGAGTCGGTGATGATGAGACGATGGAAGTGCGGCGGTAGCGGCGATGGCGCGCTGCCCGATGTCGTGCGCGTGACTGCACGTGGCAGGAATAGCGAGCACGCGGCGCGCGAGCTTGCGTAGCGTGGGCAACCCGTTGGCCGCGGAGCCTGCCCACCAGCCGAGGATGTCGTCGTCGTCTAGACAAACCTGCAGGCGTCCGCAGTTTAGATCAAAGAGTCAAGTCCGTTTTGTGGCGAAGAAAACCTACAAAGCTTTGTTTGGTGTCCAAAAAAACGCAGTACATTGATATTGGGTATTTTATATTGAAGTCTAAATTGTCACTTCATAGCGAAAATTATCAATAATAATAATTAATTATCAATTACATTCAAAATAATTGAAATATAAAAAAACAGTATATCGCCAATTCACAAAGAAATATAGCAGAGAATAAAAATACATCTGAACCTACCTTCATGTTGACGTAAGCCATGATTTCTTCGCTATCAGACACGGACAGATCTGGCACGCCTTGATTGTCCATGTACTCCCTGAATGGGTGCGACTCGGGAGAGCTTCCCCTTTCAAAAGGACTTAAATTGAGCCCCTTCTGGCCACCGTTGATGGAGGGCCCGTGAACCATGGACAGAGGGGAGGAGCTGGTGCCTGGCGAGGACCCGCAGCTGCCGCCGGTGGGGCTGACGCTGCGGCGGGTGGTCTTGAGGTTGAGCACGCCAGTGTTGGCCTCTGTGACGGCCACGGCCTTCATCATCTCCAGCACTAGTCGGTGCACCTCGACCTTCTCCTTGTCGTTCAGAACCTAGAGTTCAAGAAAAGGTTACTTTACACCCAAATAAAAAAAAAATAGAATCAAAATAAAGTTCCGACCGTTCTTTCAACTTTTTCCACAAACGAAGCAACGTAGAAGTATGCACTAAGGAAAAATTTAATCATTATTTCTTAAATCAATTCAATAAATTAGTCGTAATTCACTAGTAGCATAGGAAGTAAGTGTAATTAAAAAATAATACTATGTAACACTGAAGAACTATTATAAGTATCAATCGGCACACGATAACGACCTCGTGCAAGTTTGCAGTAACAACAGCAATACATGCAAGCAGCTACGAGAGAAGATTTGTTCAAAGAAAACGCAATATAAAATATTTGTCGGTTGACGGAACATTGTTATAATACTCGTACTTTAAAATAATTCTGGACGAAAATTAAGAAATAAAAATAAAATTAAATCAGGGGGCAGTATAACCGAGCGAAATTAAAAATAAACTCATGCTCAGTTATTTGCAAACAATTGAAATCCCATATTTTGATGAAAACGTGCAAAGGGTAAGCAATGCGTTAAAAATAAGAGATGCGCAAGGACATTATAAATTATGAATGCAAAAGACACTCGAACCACGATATAGATTTCACATTAATTATTGGATACTCAAGGTATAAATGCACAGGAATATGAAGAACATTGACGAGAAACTATATAAGAACATTGACGAGATACATTATAAGTTATCATTGAACTTAAGTGAACTAAAGGAAAATGAATCCTGACGCATTCAATAATGAAAGAATAAGATCGATTAGTAATGATATTCTAATAAAATATATGCCGACAAGCATTTGAGGAGACCAGAAAGTGTAAAATCAACCTGAAGGCATCCGTAGACTGCCTCTCGTTTGAAGCCAGCGAACAATTTGGCTGCTTCTGCTATGCAATTTTAATTAATGCAGGGCACTCGTTCCGCGAATCGCGCATACTCTAATTTTGATACACATAAAATTGTGACGCATGCTGACATTTTTTCACTGCAGCATACAAATGACTTTGACAATTCAAGTGTTAGGGCTGGAACGTTGGAGCTTCCTGGACCCGTACGCTGTGTTGCTGAAGAAATCTATGTAATGAAACATTTTATTTTGATCGAATCGGATAATTAGTATTTATTAAATATAGGAAGATCTTAGCAAAAGGAAGAAACATGCGCAAATTTACAAATGTCTAAAAATTTTACTTTGCAGTCTTTCCCAATTAAGTAATGTGAGAAACGCATTCCTATCACGTAATTCGGAGAAGCAAGCATGTTGAATATGCGGACTTTTAGTGCATAGCTGGGACGATATACAAACCCTAATACTTGAAGGTGACCGATATATTAAACGTGAGTTATTAGACCGCCGGAATTTAGGTAGTCGAATACAATCTAGTAGCTAGGAATTGTAGACATCAAAATTTGCATTTGCATGAATAAAGGAACAACAACCAAGCAGTAGATGGTTCCCCAGACGAGATCGTGCATGGGATGAACTAACCAAATTTTACTAGAATCGAAGAAAAAAATCTTAGATCTATGCGTCACGAAGACGATCTAAGGATCAAGAGTTAAAAAAATGAACAGGGAGAATAGTCGTCACACATGTTCTTATAAAGATGAAGATGATCCGAGGAGGACGATCAACCTTTTTTTGCAGATAGTCATTAAAATTGAATTCAAGGACAGCATGTGCGACGTGATCACTAGCTACATGGACAGTCATAAAAAAATAGGGATGTAAATTGTTTGTAATGAAGAATGGATAGATCGTAATTTCCCTGATGGCTGTTCTCGGTACATTTGAAGAACCAATAATGCTCTTGCGAGGCTTTGATTTACCTTCGCCGGTCAACCTTGAACAAACGAAGCGATCATCGTTAGCTAATGTGGCATGACAACGAAGATGCTCTAGTGATGGGAAGTTCGGGCACATTCTTATAGTGCACCAAACAGTTTCTCACAAGTACTTCTATTCATTGACTAGAAAGAACACAAAACATTAATAATTTAATATCAAGGACATTTCAAACCGAAACCTAAAATAATCAAACGCTTGCATGCATCCATGATTTTTTTAGCGTGTATACTGATGAACTATTCAACATCGAAGGGGTTCAGCTCAAGTGCTGCGATTCATCCAGACAATTCGATATTCAAAAACGTCGCATAGGTTTTAGGATGAAATACGCTTTTCTTTTTCGTGGAAGGAAACAATGAAACTGCAGTACAAACAATTGCCGTGATTTTTCAGCAAGTATGATAACATTGTAATGGTAATATGATAATTTCTTGGAACGTACTATCATTGAAGATAACAATTAATGGAACAGGCAAGCAGGCAGTCAGTCTATACGACCATCCTGCCTCTCACAGGTATCAAATATGCCAAAAGCCGCACAAATATAAAGCTATTCCAGGATACTGGAAGCAAATCGCGCTCCTTCTATTCCGATTCAAAGAACATTCCCAAAATTCCAGGACGCGTGGGAATATTCCCACAAACACTAAGAGCCTTCCCATGGATGTAGCACATATGGACCGAAGCGTCTCAGCTTCCTACAGTCGTGCAGCTGCTCGTTTTAACAACATGTTGGAATTTATAAAAGCGTACAATAGCAATGAATAAAATCATCGTTCTCAGGAATAAGATGAAAAATCGATCGTAAAAATAATTGGATTGGAAACATTGTCGATTTAATCATTTCTGGAAGTGTGTGCAGAGGTACGTTAAAGATATACACTTTAAAATATTGATTCAGCAAGTTGATTCTGCGTGGTAACCGTAAAATTCCTAGCGAAGCGAATCTAAAGAATACGTTCAGAGTGACATTTTTAGATAAATACATCCACGCGTATTGGGCCATTGTCCTGCTGACATTCATTTGTAACAATTGCATATGTAGCAAAATAATACTATATCTCATTTACTTGTACGATACCGTACCTCATTTTTAATTGTCAAAAGTCGTTCGTTTCAAGCCCGGCACTGTAAAAAACTAAAAATGCAGGTCGTTTGAGCGCGCATCCACAGTACTTCATCATCAGAGCGGAATATTTTCTTAATCATTTTTTAGCATAGTAATTTTCAATCTGACGTTGAAGGGGTACGGGGGATAAGGATTAAAACTTGATACACAAAAAATGATCTGAGAAGTAATAAATTTTAATTTCATCTCAATTTCTGGACGGGATTCTTCTTGACGGTTTAAACGGGTCTTCCTATAGAATAGAATAGAACCCGGTCTTTCCATAACCGACGAATGATTGAGATAGCTGGTAGACTTATTGCCTGGTCCGTAATTTGCTAGTGCTATCAGGGAGGCTGTTCCATATGTCGGTGACTCGAAGAGAGAAGAAATGTTGTCGCATGGATGTGTTACATAGCAGTTTTTTTTAGTTTATAGCCGTGGCCCCTGGTGTTGGTTCTTGTTTCAAATTCTAGTAATCCTTCTGGGACCTTGTATAAGCCACGAGTATAAATGTATGCTTCAATGAGATCAACTTTGTTTTGGTTCGCGGCGTTTTCTTTGATTAGCATTACTTCAGTTTTAAAATTATCAACGGTAAACGGGATCGAATAAACCCACACTGAAATCAATTTTATTTTTAAGAACACGAGTTTAGATTTGAGTATTGGCGAAATCCCAATAAGCAGAAACTGAATCAAGTTTCATTAAACGCCCAATTGGACGAGTTTGAAACCTATAATGTACCTACTAGCGCTAGTTTATTGTACTAAAACCTAGCGTAAGGGCAAGGATAATTCCATAACTAATATCTTTCCTATGTCGTTTAGAATACATAACACTTTTTCACCACATATAATATATAAAATTTTTGTTTGGTTTTTGGTATATTATACAGAAGTATAATCACCACAAATTAAAACAAAAAATATTTTTATAAATTTTGAACTAAATTTATAACTCTAAACCTTACAATCATATTAATGAATAAACAGGTATGTCGAACAAATATGATTCCAATGGTGTACAAATATGGTTCAAAAAATGTACAAATATAGTTATACAAATGTGGTTCAAAAACTGTACATATATATAGTTCAAAAATGTACAAATATAGTTTAGACAAATGTGGTCCAGAAACTTTAAATATGGTTCAGAAACTGGAGCTATATGCTGAAGAAATTTTGCAAATATTATTTCGGTAACTATACATAAAATAGTTAGAGAACTTTACAAATACGAATCAAAAACTGTGAAATTGTAGTTCAGAAAATGGTTCAGGAACTGTGGAAACGTCAAGATAGAAGTTGGATCACAAGTGTTATTTTCATCCGATATTGTGACAACAACGCAAAATGTTGTAAATGATTTTATAAAGAATTTAGTTTGACATACGACAAATAGGTTAAAATAAATTATTTCAGACTCATTGTAGAAATAATAGCTCGAAGCCGAAACAAAGAAATCCCTATATAGTGAATATTCGCATTAATTTTTATTATGCATAAAAGAACCAATCGGAATTTTTAAACAGTGAGCTTGCATATCATGGGCAGCTGTAGATATAGTTGCCCCGCTCGAACATACGCTGTTCTTGCGCATTCTAAAAATATAATAAATCATGAAAACAAAATGCTTTATTAGGACCCACAAGTATTCCAATAGAACAAAAGCCGCGGTCGCATTCAAAGACTTGACCAGGGGCCGAATTTGCCTGGAGGTTCCAAACAAAGATATAATGCAGAACATGCACAATAAGAACAATCATTAACTGGCATTCCAGCTTGAGATTATAACTATTGGTCTCATTGCACTGGGCGCATCGAAAGTGAATCGCACCGCAGCTCATTCGCTAAGATGAACAGATGAGTTCTGTGCATGCGTAATGCATGCGGCGCTTCTTACCGGAAATATAATCGTTAAGACTTTAATTGAATTCACAAAGCAAGGTTTTCGTCGTTTGCGTGCAGGACGCATAGGTCGGTACCGCATCAACAGCCTTCAACTGGTCGCTCTCTTTCCAG